TTCTTTCTTTCTTTCTTTCTTTCTTTCTTTCTTTCTTTCTTTTTTTTCTTTCTTTCTCTCTCTTTCTTTCTTTCTTTCCTTCCTTCATTCCTTCATTTCTTCCTTCCTTCCTTCATCTCTCTCCTTCCTTACTTCCCTTCCTCTCTTCCTTTTTCTTTCCCTCCCTCCCTCCTTCTTTTTCTTTCCTTTCTTTCTCTCTCTTTTCCTTCCTTTGTCTCTCTCCTTCCTTTCCTTTCCTTTCCTTTCCTTTCCTTTCCTTTCCTTCCCTCCCTCCCTCCTTCTTTCTTTCTTTCTTTCTTTCTTTCTTTCTTTCTTTCTTTCTTTCTTTCTTTCTTTCTTTCTTTCTTTCTTTCTTTCTTTCTTTCTTCTTTCTTTCTTTCCTTGTTTTGCAAAGATATGGTTTCTTTGTTTGGGGTTAAGTTCCAAATAAACAAAAAAGAGAGTAAAAAATTAATCCTTCTTGCCAATCAATTTCATAAAAGAAAAAAAAATATCTTCGTTGTCAAAGTCAGGTTTTTAAAAAAAAAACCATAAGAAAGTAATAGTGAAAAAAGTCTATGTTAAAAATGCAGACTTTTCTGAAAAATCTGTTCCAAATCACCATTATTTGATGAGCAGATGCCAGTGGCATTTTCTTGCAGTGGACGGAAAATTCCCCCTTGAAATACTGAAAAGATATGCATTGGAATATTTGCCAAAATTAAGCTTGATTAATTGGGGAAAGAAAGACAGAGAAGAAGAAAGAGAAAGAAAGAAAGAAAGAAAGAAAGAAAGAAAGAAAGAAAGAAAGAAAGAAAGAAAGGAGGGAGGGAGAAGGAAGAAAGGAAAGAAAGAAGGAAAAGAAATAAAGGAAAAAGGAAAAGAAAGGAAGGAGGGAGGGAAGGAGGAAGAAAGGAACAAAGACAAAGAAAAAAAGCAGAAAAGAAAAAAAAGGCAGAAAAGAAAGAAAAAGAAGGATCAGAAAATGTTTTCAATATTCTACCAGCCAACAAAGAATCTGGTTTTTGGCACTGAAGCAGATATTTTAGTTCGTACTTTCTGTGAAAAAAAATTGCTATTAAAAGAAAGAATCTGTGACAAAAGAGTCATTTTTTCTTTTGAAAATTAATGCAATTTGCTTTGCTAAAGGAAAAAAAGAAATGGCAAGAGATTTGTCTTGGGAGACATTCCACGACTTCACAAACTTCCCTGCACAACCGAGTTCCTGTTTTGATGAGATCCCGTTTCTGATTGGTTGGTGTTAAAAATGTCTTATTTTGAAGGGTGTTTTGCTAAATTACGTAGAAGACAGGTGGCCTTTTTTTTTTTTAATCTTGCATTGATAGTGGATATAAACCAGATTTATAAGGGGGGAAAACACTTGATATGTAAAGAAACTCCCTTTTTATGATATTTCTTTAGCAACCAATTAATAGTGATATAGGTAGTCCTCGAAATACAACCATTTCTGTTTGACAACAGTCAGTCCTTGCATTTACAACCACGGCAGCATCCTTAAAATCACATGATCAAAATCTGCTTGACAACTGGCGTGTATTTACAACGGTTGCAGCAATCTGCAGTCACCTTTCACAACTTCTCAGCCAGCACCTGACAATCAAGGTCAATGGGAGAAGCCAGATTCGCTGAACGACTATGTGTCTCACTTAACAACCGTCGGCAAAGATCCAAAATGATCAGGCGTGACTTAACCACTATCTTAAATGGTCTAGAGCAAGGCTCTTCAAACTTGGCAAGTTTAAGACTTGTGGACTTTTAACTCCCAGAATTCCCAAAGCTAACAGGACCAGAGGAGGAATTCTGGGAGTTGAAGTCCACAAGTCTTAAAGCTGTCAAGTTTGAAAACTGGTATAGGGGGCCTCCTGTTTGAGCAGTGGGTTGGACTAGTCCAGTGGTCTCCAACCAGTGGGCTGGGGACCACTGGTGGTCCGTGAGAAAATTTTGGTGGTCTGCAGAGAAATGTCACCCCCAAAACAATTAATCCAGGCTGCACCGGAACCCAAGACTGCGCCGCCCACATGGCCCGCGGGAACACAAGGATTGAGTCACTTGCGTTGCGAAAAAGACGAGGTAGTGAGGGGAGGGGGGGAAAGGGCGGAGGGGGGGGACTTGTCCCACACCACCCACGTGCCTGGCCTGGCCATCGGGCTGCTGCTTTCCTTTTCTTTCTTCTTCTGCTTTTGGCTGCACGCAAGGAAAGTAGCAAAAGTCTTTCTCTCTCTCTTCCCCAAACTCGGCCAGAAATGAGTCTTTGGGACTCTGCAAGGCATCCTGCTCCGTGAGGCCAGCAAAGACTCACTTCTGGCAGAGTTTGGGGAGAGAGAAAGAAAGACTTCTGCTGCTTCTGCTGCTTTCCTTGCATGAAGCCAAAAGTCTCTCTCTCTCTCTTTCTCTCTGTCCCTGAGAATGGAGCTGGAGACAGTATCCTGCGATCCCAAATAAAGAATGATCAGTCGGTAGGAAAACGGGGTAGGGAATTTTCCTTTTCTTTTGGGGGGGATTTTCCCAGGGGTCTCTGGTCCGCCGGATTTAAAATTATAATTTGGTGGTCCCTGAGGTCCAAAAGGTTGGCAACCCCTGGACTAGATGACCTCCAGGGTTCCTTTCCAGCTCTATTCTGATTGAACTGCCTTGCTTAGCAAGGGGAATTCAGATCCCCATTGAGGTTGTTAAGTTGAGGGTTACCTGTGCGTTATTCCCAGGGATGCTAAAGGGACTTTTGCAAGAAACCCCCCCCCACCAACCCCCCCCTCCCCGCCCTGCTTTAAAAAAAAAACCACGCGTTTTCCCCCCCCCCCCCCCCCCATTATAAAATTAAACACACGTACGAGCACACAACACGGCGATGGTGAGCACACACACACACACACACACACACGCTTGGCTTAAAACCAGCTTCTTTTAACGTCATCCAAATTCCTGTAACATGTTAGAAAGAAAACACAGCACGCATGCACGCATGCAAGCAAGCGGCCGTATTTGTAACCCAACCCAACGGATCGGTTCCTGAAGACCCCCCCCAAGAACCTCCTTGGGGGGGAAGGGGGGGACAGATCCCACCCCCCTGCCAGCACCCCCCCTCTGAGAAAAACCTAGTAAAGCCAAAAAGCTTTTGCACAGAACGGGGCCCGAAAAACCACACACCCAGACATGCTGAGAAAAGAATATCACGGTGTTTTATTCGAGTTTTCCCATGATGAGAACAGACCCTTCCATATATATATATATATATATATATATACTGTATATATATTTTGAAAAAAAAATCATCCCCTGGGTTTGAAGTGCCAGTCCTTTCGTATCGTTGACAGCGTCTCTTGGTGGGGGAGTTTCCCACGAAGCCAACGCGGAGAGACTCAACACGGATCGGCTGCCAGAAAGAAAATCTGGGAACACTTGGCGGCAGCATCGGTTGGGGGGTGATGGTGGTGGTGGAGAAACCAGAACATGTGTTCGCATCACAAGCGCATGAGAGTCCGTGCAATTAGGAAAAGATGTTCTAATAATTAACCAGGCAGCGAAAACAAGCGCTAGATTCAGTCCGATACTCCCAACATGTGTCCACGCGATGCTGTAGGTAAATACACAAGTAGGGATCGTTCGAAACTCTTGCTGGGAATTTCGCAGGGCCGCTGTCGTTTCTCCCCCCCCCCCCTGCGAACCCCAAAAGTCCAGAGGATTCGATCCCGCGCAGCTTAAGAGCTGCTTCTTCTTCTTCCGATGAGCCTCGTTATTTGCTACATAGGTGCTTTTCAACACTGTGACTATCCTTTCATCGATTACAAAAGAGAGACAGAGAAGACGTAGTATAAAATGCCTGAACAGCTTAAATATTATTTATAGATAGATAATTTTTGTTTTTGTTTTTGTTTTTTTAAAAAAAGCTTAGTTAAAAAATATAGATTTGTCCAAACCAAAGAGAATGCTCTGATAACGGTGGGAAATAAGTGGTAAGGGGCAGCCTGAAATTTTCCCGGTCCCTTAATATATAACATTGAAAAAGGCTTGTTCTGGATTTTAACACTTGCATCGTTCAGTCATGAAGGGAGACTTGGTGCGTTTTAAAGATTGAAATGTACACTTTTCATGCGTGGGTGCAGTTTTTGGCTAACGTTCAAAACGGGGTTATGGTTCCATCTTGGACCAGGTTTATATCCTTTAAGGATTTGAAACTCTGTGTGTGTGTGTGTGTGGTGGTGGCGCTTTACACACAGAATAGCAATAGCAATAACACTTAAGACTTATATACCACTTTATAGTGCTTTTACAGCCCTCTCTAAGTGGTTTACAGAGTCAGCCTACGGCCCCCAACAATCTGGTTCCTCCTTTTACCGACCTCAGAAGGACGAAAGGCTGAGTCAACCTTGAGCCTGGTGGGATTCGATCTGCCAAATTGCAGTAGTAGTTTGCAGTATTGCCCTCTAACCACTGCGCCACACACCCAGCTCACACTTTGCAGGGAAAATAAAGTTGCAAGGGTAAGATGGATAGTCAAAAACATCTGTCTGGCTTTAAAATTCGGGTTTAAAGCAGCATTTTTCAACCATGTCAACTTGAAGATGCACGAACTTCATCTCCCAGAATTCCCTAGCCAGTCATGGCTGGCTGGGGAATTCTGGGAGTTTAAGTCCACGTATCTTCCAAGTTGCTACAATTAAGAAACATTGCTTTAAATTAAAACATCAGCTCCAAATATATGCCCCCCCCCCCCACACACTCAGCAATTAGCCAAGGGTTCAAATCCACACAGGCTGAAGCTTTGCAGACTAAAGAGACCTGCCCTCAGTTTACCCCTCACCCCCCGAAATCTCTTCTGCCAGTCATTTAAGTGGGGGTTTTCAGCTACAAGTAACAAAAACCTGTGGAATAAATTCTACACCTGCCTAGAATTGCACTCCAGGAAAAAAAAAAAAACAGCGAGAAGCTACTTGGAAGGGTTTAAAAGCAATGCATTTCCTTCCTGTTGCCTAGGGCTGGACTAGATGACCCTCGCGGTTCCCATAATTCTGAAATTCCATGGATTAAGAGCCAAGTAAATGGTCATAATCCAGCGAGCCTCTTGCCTTTTCTTACAACTTTTCCAACACTTCCCCTTCTTCACACTTTTAATCACCTACGGCTACGTTCTTCTCCGTTTTATCCCCTCCGATGTCCAGCCTTATGGAACATCCCAGCGATTTAATGCGTTCATCGCAAGAAATCACGCATTCCAAGCTTAGCTTTCTTTCACTGTTGATTCCCTGCAGGAGACTAACTCTGAATTTTGGAAACGCAGCCTTTGCAAACTGCCACGCTGATTTCTCCAATGGCCCAAACTCTGTGGATCTTGTTCAGATCCAAGTATCGCCATTTCAAAATCTAGTCCTTCTACTGAAACTTATCTTTGGGGCCAAACCAGGCCGGGGTTTATCTCGATTTAGAAACCATGGTTAAAACCCTTGAAAACAAACCTTTTTCAATTTTTCAGCAGAGGAGGGACTGGCGCAGGTAATTGAATACTGGATATCTTCTATATAAGTGGGAAAGGAATTCAGTAAATACTGTTTGCTCTAATACTGAATTGACCTCATAGTAAATGAGGTTTCTAGACTTTGGTAACTTTTAAGACCTGCGGACTTCAACTCCCAAAATTCCCAGTGATGCTGGCTGGGGAATTCTGGGAGTTGAAGTCCACAATGAAGATATATTCATGATTAGCTCAATAAGTACCTGGCTGAATTCCTTCCCTGCCTTTACCTGCAAAAACCCAGCAACAGGTACCCCCGTCCAGAATATATAGCACCTTAAAATTGCATTTTCCTTCTGTTTTGAACCATCCTCCTTGTGCTACACAGCAATACAGTATATCAGTTTTTCAGCCTTATTTGTTGGTTTTTTTAAAAAAAAAAGAAAGAAAAAGCAATGCCATTAATGAGATAGTCTAAAATAATGCAGGGTTTACAGATCAAAAGAGAGGTTTGGGGCAACCAGGCGCATGGTTTGGAGAGGCACATGGGGTGGACTAAGATTGGAGAGGAGAATTTCCCCGCCTGTCGGTGGCCAGGTACATGTAGCCCTCGACTTACAACGATTCGTTTAGTGGCCGTTTTGAAGTTGCCATGGGGTGACCCATTTAGCAGCCGTAGTGATTAGCAACTGAACTGTTGCGCTCAAGTGTGGTCGTAAGTCAAGGACTACTGTAACATAAAAAGAGCAGAAGGCTTGCTTTGATCTTTGCAGCAAGTGTGTAAAGGAGACCCAAGAGGTGATTCACACATTACATGGCAAGAAAACTAGCTTGCCTACTCATGATCTTATTGGAAGGAGACGATGCGAAGGACTCTGAATTATTACATATCCCTGAATTATTACATATCCCAACATTACTACAGAGGCCAATACGAAGTCCTTGGTCGGGTGGACACTTCTGTCTGATAAGCTGATCTTTAAAAGCCTGATATTTAAAAGTTTGTAATATGCGAGGCGGCCCTTTCTCTGCTTCTTTATAGAGTTAAGCTGAAGCCCTTTTTTAAAATGGTGAGGTATTTTTTTTTTGTACAAAATTTGTTCCGAGCTCCTTGTAGGAACTTTACTCCTCAGCTACTCCACAGCCAGCTGAGCCCCGTCTCCTTCTCCACGGCTCGAAGCCTCACAACCCGTGCAAAGAGCAAACTCACTTCTTCCTCTTTGGAGCAAAGCATTAGCATCTGTGTGGCCTACATTTATCGAAACCAGGGCTTCCCAAACTTGGCAACTTTAAGACTTGTGGACTTCAACTCCCAGAATTCTCCAGCCAGCTATAG